ATTAATTTCACATTGCATTTATTATTTTTTAAACTATGGAAGTTAATGTACTGATGTCCCTTCTTCATACAGGTCAACTGTGGAAAGGTTATGAAAGGGCCAGTCATGATTTTTAATGGAATATATATATAATGGAATATATATAAACCACATGCAGCTAAGCATGGTGATTGTCCATCTCTGACCTTAAACACTTTTTTCCTCACTCACCTAAGCTAAAAGAATATTGGTTTTCTGCTCTCTGTTTGGGACATCAGAGGCTCAGTGCACAGGTTTGCTACTAAAAGGCCTCAGGCTTTACACTGATGTAACAGTGCTGGCCTCAGGACCTGCCTGGATTTTTGCAGGCCTGAGCTTTCTGTAGTTTCAACAGCTGTGTAGCCAACAGATGACTTTTCCCTAAAGATGTTTTAGCTTTAGATCAGCTGTGTGAAACTGTGGGTAACATACACTGTTAACTACTGAACAGTGATCTGGCCCAGCTATTCTGTGTAGAGAGAACCTTGAACAAAAATACAGTGTCACAAAGCACAGCACAGACAGACAACAGAGGCCCAAGGACCAGCATCACAAAACACAATGATCATGGAGGTGCAGCCTCACAGAAGTGGGTGACACTGGGAGCAGAAACCCAAGAAAAACAGTGTGTTTTGACTATGCTTCTAAAATTAGACTAGCAATAATTTTTTGTGCCCGTGAATAGGTTGTATTCCCAGTCTGTCCAAAACTAAATTGTCTGTCCACCAACATCTCTTGAAAACATACATGGTGAACTGAACAACATAAAAACAAGCAGTTTTTTTAAAGGATGCTGAGAAACAAAATCTGAAATAAGGCTCTTGGGAGAGCAAGCCCATTGGTTTGACCATAGGAGGCAGAAAAACATACATGTAGAGATAGCTATAACCTGTAGAAGAAATAATACATATAAATAGATATAACTTGTAGGAAAATTAATTTGATAAAAATAAAAATCAATAAGGAGTTTAAAGTAAAGCCTAATTTTAATTTAAAATCCCTGTAAAGAGGGAAGTATAGAAATATTTCTTAATTACATAAAACTTTCATACAACTTTCTGTGAAAGAACTACTAAAAACCTACATCAGTTTTAATCAATTTTAAAGGCTGAGGAGCAGTTTATGCAGATGAACATACAATGACCTCACCCAGCTCAATAGTGAGGCACACACACTCTCTCCTCAAGATAAAGATGTGGGATACAGGCTGTTCATCTTTGCCTAAGCTCAGGTCCCAGATGCATTGCCCAACATGTGATAATGGAAAGTATCTGTACCCAGCACTGAGTGCCAGAAGCACATTCTACAAAAGAGAAATACACACTGCAAAAGACTAGAGGTAGAAAGAGGAAAAAAAGAATTAATTCTTAAATAGGAGTTACTTGACAAACAGGAGCAACTATGTTTACCTGCTTTTGATAACCTCTTAGAAATCCCAAAGCACTACATTGCAACACTACTAGGAAAAGAAGACAAATGTGGGCATATTATATTAATATCTCATAAAAATAATTTTTAAAGGCTGAAACAAAAAACTAAAAAATATTTTATTTCTTTCCTGTGCTGAAGAGTCGCATAAATCTTACTGTGCTTTCTTTCTGACTATGGAAAATAGGGTAATTCTATTCAATTCAGGATAATAATAAATCAAGTACACTTATTTTCCTATTATTTTCTGTCCATATGTTTATACAGCGACCAGTCTGGGATGCTCAACTTCCTCTCCAGTTTCCACATTTTTCACTGGGAGTTTTACCAATGCTATTCCAGGGATTTAATTTCACAATGCTCAGTGATTCAAAGCAAACGGGGATCTGTGACCCTTGCGTCCAAAGACCTGTCTGAGTCAAGAGAACAGGATATTTCAAACAGAAGTGATGTTTCAGATTCAAAAAATCCAAAGTCCACCTTTGAAAAAGTTGTTGTTTCACACCTAGCAGAGCTCTGCCCAGGCAGGTGTAACTGGAGCAAGATGGCCCCAGGCTCACTGCTGCTGCTTAGCAACAAACATCACACCTTGTACTTATCGTTTTAGACTCTGATTCTTATTTAGGCAGATTACAGGCTTGAAGAGAAGTGTCTGTAACCAATAATAGGTATTCTGAGGTGTGATTATTATTTGAATGCTGATGACACTTTAGGATGCATAATCTTTACTGTAAAATGAAAGCTGGTAAGTAATGGACATGTTTCAAGCTTTCTAAAAGTTTGCTTGCTTTATAAAAGTTGAATCACAACTTCCATCAGGGGTGTGATGATAAATGCCAGTAGTTTCATATAATTGAAAATTCTGTTGTTTTCATAATGACTGCAAAATCATCTACTTTGGAAAACACTTAGATAATAGAAATATTAACAATAGTAGTATTAACAAAGTGCACAGCAGCAGAGTGTGATCAAATAGAAGAATTTAACAGAATATGAAGTCAAAGAATATAAAGTCAAATACAAATACATTTTCAGTTTGTGATGAATTACTTTATTTCTACACAATAAATATATACTCATACAAATTATATTTAAGAAAAGTTATATATGGATGCATCAGATCACTACTTTTTGATTTGGACACCACCAAGACATTATGTTAAATCTCACAGATCACGTTCAGAAATTCTGAATAATTCTTTCCCTTTGAGTGTATTGTAATTGCAGTCTCTTCTGGCCACTGTGTCAACAGTGTAATTTCTTGACTTCTTCCCTGTTTGTTTCCAAGCTTCCAACTATGCCACATAGTTTGAAATCAACTTTTCAAGTTGCCCCATGCACATTAATTTTATCTTTTCACATAATTTCTCAAGCCTGTAATAAAAAAATTGTTCCTATCCTGATAATCACTAATTTTAGCCACACATTTTCAATAAATGAATCTCATTCCAACATATACTTTCTTGCCATTTCTACTTCCTTCACCTGTAAACATGTGTCTAGCCTGTTACTTCCACTGCAAGTTCTCTGAATCAAGCACTGAATTTTTTCAGCACTTTAACAGTAGATTGTTTACTGAGTACAAATTAAAAACACCAATAATTCTGTATTTTGTTGTATATTTTTTTGCAATTTAATGTTACAGCATTACTACAAAATCAGTTACTTTTCTATCTTCTTCCCTTTTTGAAGCAACAGTCTACACTGGTAACTGTCTGCAAGGTAAGTACAGACATGAGGGTCTTAAAAGGTGAAAGTTCAGCAATTGTGAAAAAAATAGTCCTATTCATACTGGATTTCTAGGATTAAAGGGAAGTGAAAAAAACCAGTTTTGATGCAACCTGAGAGATATGCAGGGTGAGAAGATCTGACTCAAGTTTTGGTGCCTAGGACTTAGTAAGAGCGCTCTCCAAGGTGACTCACACGACTTGCCATGGTACAAAATGCCCAGTGGCAGCTGGGCAGAGATGAGACACAAATGAAGAGAAGCCATCTTCTCTGTGCCAGAATGCACTAAGAGTCAGAAAATGGGCAGCACAAACCCACAGATTTCTAACACGCTCCATACATAGGCCCTCAAACTAACTTCCAGAACAGTCTTTTAATCAGCACTGTGACGAAAAGAAAATGCAGTCACAGAACCACAGAATCAATGGGGTTGGAGAGGACGTTTAAGCCCTTCTAGTCCAACCCTTTTGCAATGAACAGAAACATCTTCAGCTAGATCAGGCTTTTCAATGGCCACAAATTTGTGTCTCACAGAGGAGGTGCTGTATCACTCATAACCAAATTCAACACAACTGGCACTGTGCACTGGTACACAGAAGGTGACTCTGGCCCCATCATGAAGAGAGTTCTGTGCACCACGGGTGCCACAGCTGCTCTCTAGTTATATTTCCATAAAGCTGTTTAGGTCGCCAGTTTCTGCTCTCAGGGACACAAACATGAGCAAGCAACACCATAGCCCCAAGTGAAATCAGTCTCCTGAGCCACATTTGTGAAGTGCTAAGATCTCTTTTCTGAAAAAGTACGGACAGAACTTTCAGAGAATCTTGAAAACTATCTGAGGCTGGAGAACAGCATTTTATAAGAACTGATCCTACTCAAGAGAAGTCCAGCTCCCTGTCACAGGGCCTTGGTCACCTTTTGCCAGACCACAAATCACACACGGAAGGCCCTGCTACTGTGTAATTTTTGTAACTGGAGCACAAATGGTAAAAATAATTATGGTGAGTGTTCAAACCAGGTTTTAGAGGCTTCCGTCTATCCCATAGTGGATGACCAAGAGTCAAACATTGTAGAATGCTGGGTATGGATGGTCCCAAAACCAATTTATTTTCAAATGATACCAAGCTCCTAACAAAAATTTTCTATATATTTATTGACTTGTTTTTTATTTAAATGAAAATGTCTTCTGTAAACAATAATAGATTGGTTTTGGATAGATTTCGAAAACAATAGGTTGTCTTTCTCTTGCATGTTACCAGACAGATGTATGAATCTATTTCTGTTCACTTTATGATACAAACCCTATACAGTTATTCTACCTCTTGTTTAATTTGTTACACTTGCTTCATTCTCAAAATATGATCTCAAGTCCTGCATTCTCAAAATATGGTCTCAGGTGAATGGACATTTTTCAGAAGAATGTCACTTTATGTACTAGTTTAATTACTTTTAACTTTAATTTCTGACAGATTCACATTTTAGCATAGCAGACACTTCAATACTCAGTTGAAGAAATCCCATTTAAAATTTTTATTTACATGGATAGCTATGGGGGAAAAGATTTGAGATTCTGAAAAGGAAAAATGAAAAGAAAGAAAAGTAATATTGTTTGAGCAACTATGTAGAGATTTACCATACAGTCTCAAAACCTCACTTCAGAAAATTACTTCAGATACAGAACACTGGAAGATTGAGATATCCTGCCAAAAAAAAGTGAGTGCATCAGCTGTACTCTAAGCAGTAGAAATTCTAATAGTCAAACTGTCAAATCTGAACAATAAGGAACACCTTTTTATTTAGGAGCTGTTCCTCACAACCAGATTTAATCAAGCCTTCTCTCCATTTGCATAATTTCTTCAAAATGCTAGGGATAATGATTTGCCATTTTCAATCTTTTTTCCTACATTATGAGCATGCTTCTATCAAGTGCGTCTTTACAGTGCTAAATAAAATTCTGTCTTCAAGAAAGCATTAAATCTCTTTGTAATCTCTTGGCCTTACTGGCAAAATACTGGCATTTGACTTCCTTCTGAGACAATGGGAGTGTGCTTTCTTTCATGAAAACTGTGTTTAACGGGTGGAACCCAAATCTCCAGTCAAAAGCTGTAATAGTGCATAAAACTACCTCACTTTGGGAGATATCTCCCACTTCTTCTGTTACATATTATTTTTAGCAGGAATGGCTGGCTTTTCTGTTGTGCTTCCTTGCCTCCAATGCCTGACTTCTTTGCACATTCTGATACAAACCTGCAAACAGAAGACAGACATCCCTACACAATGCCTCCTTCCTCTGTCCTGATGCCCTACCAACTTTCTGTTGAGTTCCCTGTGTTGAGGACAGAGCATGTTACAGGAACTGGAAACAGGCTGGAACAAAAACAGTAGGAAAGAAAGGGTGAAAAGGACTTACTGGTACGTGGTGGGACTGACGTTGATGCGGCGTGGGTGACTCCCTGACTCGAACTTGCTCGCCAGGGTGACGTTGTTCCCAAAGAGGCAGTAGCGCGGCATTCTCACGCCGACGACGCCGGCCAGCACCGAACCTGAGTGAATGCCTATCCTCATCTGGAAAAACACATGAGATACATGTCAGGCTGCCTCTCCTGGGCCACCAAGGGCTATGTCATTAGCACTCAGCTACAAGCAACCCTTTCAAATAAAGAGTAAACTAAAGAAGAAAGACTGAAGTGGGAAAAAAAAAAACCAGACTCTATTCTATTCTTCTAGCTTAGATCAGATGCAGTCAAAAGAAAGAAGAACAGAAAGATTATTATCTTTTCACTAAAACAATTTTCTTCTGTGCACATTTGCTGGGAGACTGTGACAGTCAAAATACAGATCATGAACAGAATAGGTTAGGATCATCCAGAGCTACTGCAACATCAGCCATCTAATTACACAAATAAATACATTACTGAGCTTATTTTTGCCACCACTTCCAACACAGGCAAGTAATAGCCAGCTTTTCTCAAACTGGCAGGAAGAGTAGTTAAGTTTTATCTCCTCCGTATTTTTCTTCCAAACTCTTCAAGGTCTAAGGTCTTTATCACTTTGTCAGACAGAGAGATATTGCAGTGGTAAGAATGCTGAAGACTGAGGCACCAATGATTTTAAAGGTAATTGTACCCTCCTCAAAATAAGGAGGAATAAATCCCCAGCAAATTAAAAAAAACATGCGACTATTTCAGCAATCATTCCGTGTAACTGCCTGAGATCTGGCAATTGCATAGACCTGTACAGCTCAGAGTCACCATCCAAGTTTCCTTCAGAATGAATAATCAGAGATTTATTCTGCACACATTTTAGCTAACAATTGTGTTTGCCAAGAAAATTATTTTTACAGATAGGGAAGTCTTTTTCTCTTGTTAACTTTATAACAGTTGAACATTAAAAAGAAGATATTTATATCTTCTGAGGATACTCTTGCTCATAGCAACTGGACTGCTGCAAAACTTAAGGTGAAGGAAATAAATAGCAGCTACTAAGAGGGTCTGATGGGGTAAGAATGAATGACTTACCTAACACCGTACTCAATATGGTCCTTTTACTTACTTAATTCACAGTTATTGCACTGTCCTTTTGTCCATCAGTCCCTATTTTTTTAATAAAAAATACATACGGACTCAAATACAAATTTTTTAAAAAAATCATTTTTACTCCTTTTTTATGTAAAGAAAATGCCAGCATTTGATAACATTGGTGTCCATGAAGTTCTAAGAACATGTGGGACCCCACATTATTTCACTGACTATGGTTCTTCCCACATGTCCAAGACTTCCATCATGCAGCTAAGCACTCTTCTAATTTTGTTCCTCTCGTATGTGTCACAGACAATGTGTTCAGAATTATATCTGCTATACAGTAAGCTCCTGCATAATCTAAGGACATGTTCTGCATTTGATACTACTTACAACATTCTCACAGGCAGCCTAAACCCCTCAATCTTCACAACAAGATGGTTAATTACAGACTAGGTTGTTTGGTTTGTTTGTTCCTCTCTCCTTCTTTTTTCTTTTTTAAATCTGTGAATAAGAATCACTTTAGTGATTCTTTAAGTTAAAAAGTTCACTTGAATCGAACTTTCAAACCTTTACTATGGTTTGAAAGGCAGACACAGAAATCCTTCAAATCCTCTCTTCCATAGGACTGGGAAGTATCCACTGACTTAGTTTGCCTGCTAACATTTGTGCAAATTCATAACACTTGGGTTATTTTGGTGATCTTTTAGAGCAATAAGATTTCCTGCTTTTGCTACAACATGCATTTAAACTCCACTGCTCATTACCAGTGGAAAAAAGTGCTCCTGCAGTCATGAGTTGGGTAAACAGCTGTTCTCCCTGTCGGTGAGGTCAGTACCTGCCCTCAGTGAAAGACTATGAGCAGGAAGTTTTGCTCACACAACAACGAGCATGCTTTCAATAAATAATAAACAACCTATTTACAATGTCTTGTTCTTGTGAGATGGGAGGTGACATAGTCACTTTGCTCATAATTTTAGGAACAGAGCTGATGAAACTCATTTATTCCATTGCTACTCTGCATGTTTATTTAAAAATCACAGATTAACTGTGTGCTGTGACCTCTTCCACAATACATTCAATCACATGTAAAGGCCAGATTGAAACTGTAAGGAAAAGTATTATCCTTGTTTTCCTCTAAAAAACACAGGAATAAGAGTATACATTAGAGAGGATGGAAAATATGACAGTAAAAAAACATACTAAGAAAATAAAATTTGCTTTTGCAATATATGCAGTGATAGCTGAAGTTATTGTTGGTTGTTTTGTTACTTTCATTCTTTCCTTTTCATTGCTTCCTTTTATATGGCCACATAGTCTTTTATTACTCAGTGCTTCAGTGACAGACAAGAGGGTTCTTCTGTACTATCTTAAGAGATTTTTAAAAAACACTTGCTCCAGCAATTGAAAAAGGTAGATACTGTCTCACAAATACAGATTAAACTGCATAGAGAGAGTCAAAAGCTGAAGTTTTCATTTGGTGGAAGAAAGCTGATGTAGGCTTCCTCAATAAAACTTAGACATAAATTACACTATGAATGGTTTACAATAAAGCTCCACATCTGCTATATTATATAGCTCTCTACAAGAAAAGAGCCTGCAAACACTGATGCTCTTGCCATAATGTATTCCTTTGTTGCCTTATTATACCAAGAATAACCATTATATTGGTCCTATAGTACTTTTTAGAGACATATGTTTACTTAAATGTGTCTTTTCAAGATTTTACTTCGTTTGCAGATTCATTGTTCTGGTCTTTTCCTCACAGAGTTGAAAACTGTTGTGTTAACAGCTTCAGGCTCTTTTTTACAAAGGAAAAAAACAATGTGATCAAATTATTAACAAGAAGGCACTTACTGGGGCACATCAACCTTTCACATTACCCTTGCAGTAAAGAAAATCTGCCTAGACCACACAACTTAGAACAATACCAACAACAGTTACACAAATAAAGTTATAGTTCCCAGGCTATATTGTACATATAGCCCTTATCAGTGGTCTCTCAGAACAGTCACCATAAAAAATAGCACAGAAAGTGAAAATGAGGTGACAACACTAGGATGCAATTTTTGTCTATCATAACTGTTTATTCCTTTAAATATACGTGTACTACAAATTATACATTTATTAACTGTCTTAAATGGAGCATTTTTAATAAAATGCATGGTTTTCATCTGTACCAACTGTTCCTTTGTATGTCCTTAATTATTTGGCTAAAGATAATAGGGAAGTCTTAGCTGAGCCAAATTCAGATGCATTATGCACACAAATGGAAAGGTGACTTTTTGGAAACTATCACAAAGAGAAGACAGCTGTTAAAAAAAACAACCAGTAAATATCATTCCTCCAAGAGGTAAGGAACAGTGAAGAGACCCACAAAAGCCAAAGACATTTCTAAAGCATTATCCTGGAAGGCACAATGGCAAAACAGACATGAACAGGTGGGGAAAATACTGAGAGACCTGTGAGAGATGTTTTAGATGAAGAGGGACAACTTGAACTGAGTGCAATGAAAAACAAGAAAAAAAGATTAACAGATCTGATCTCTGCCAAGAGCTGTGGTAATAGTGAAGTGGAGAAAAGCTGATGAGTCAGAGGTGTAAAAGAAAAGCAGCCTGCATTGACCAATGCAATGTGAGAGGAAAGATGTGGCTATGTGTGAAGCAAAAGAAGCTTCCAAAGCTTGTATTAAGAAACTAGCAGTATTTGAATATTTCTTACTGGATAAGGCACAAAGAGCAGAAATTTCTAATACCTGAGTGACCAGAAGGATAGTGATTTTGTGTAGCAGAGATAAAGAAGAAGATTAATAAAGAAAGATGAGAAAGATGAGAAGCACTGGTCACCATCTAAAATGAGCAGTGGAAATGTGCCAGAAGTGGTATCAGTGAGAGCTGATAGTGCAGACTAGACTGCAAGAGGAAAGTCAAGAACAAACAGGAACAAGAATGAACAACACTAAAATATTTGTTCTTTTTCTGAACTGAACATTCTGTTACTGAATTCTTCTGATGTCCCAAATCTTAAAAAAATGTATGTTACTTCTTTACACCTCCTCATTGCCAAAGCATTATTTTCCTCTTTTATATCCAGAAGAACTGGGGGTTTTGCTTTGTTTAGTTTTGTTTCTTTTTTTATCTGCCCTTCAATTTCAATTACTTGCAATTGCCTGAATGCCTTCTTAGGCACGATACTGAAAACTATACTCTCACATCAAAATAAAGCCTATTCCAACTGAGATGAGAGTAAATGCAAAACTGAAAATTCTAAACAACCCATCTAAAATTAACATTATAGGCAAGTGGCAAAAGTATTTTAATAACAGTAAATGAATGCAGTGGCATGCCTGAAGTAAATTTCACCATTGCTAATTTGCTTCTTAATAGCTTTTTCTGTTAATCAGTACTCTCAAAAAAAAAAAAAAAGAAAATCCAGTCATTTTCATTATGGTCAAAGCTCTTGAGTTTTTTCTCTTTTGAAACCTTTTCGAAAAATGTATTCTCCTTCCTCTTTCCGTATTTCTCCACATAATTTTCAAGACAAAAATTAGATGCAAGTGGAAAGACAGTCTGAGAAGTAGCACTTGTCTACCCAATAATGTTTTTGAATACCTCCTCAAATCTAAAATTTTTTGACCAATATATGTTTGCATATTGATAAGCAATGGAATACATTAACCTTATTTCTCTTCAGTCAAAACTGAGACATTGCACTACAAGATTTAAAACAATTCTTTATTAATTAGACCACTGAAAAATCATTCAAACTGTAATGATTTCTGAAAGGAAAATTAAGCAGGTTTCAAATTATTCCTCAAGCTTCATATGTACATGGTTCTGTGCAAAAATATTTGCAATTTTTGGTAAGGGTTAACAAATCTATTTTAAAAAGTATAATTCATGTTTATTCAGAAAAAAAGACTAATAGGCAGTAGCATGGAGAATTGCATAAGGGTATGACTGAGAAGAATGATTTTTGAGTTGAAAAGAAAAGGACTGCAAATATTTTTGCACAGCACCATGTACATAAGAAGCCTGAGGAATAATT